ACGGGATACAGGTGTGCTGTTTCGAAGGGACACATGCATCCCCATGTTTATAGCAGCACTATCAACAATAGCCAAAGTATAGAAAGAGCCCAAATGTCCATCGATGGATGAATGGATAAAGAAGATGTGGTATATATATACAATGGAGTATTACTCGGCAATCAAAAAGAATGAAATCTTGCCATTTGCAACTACGTGGATGGAACTGGAGGGTATTACGCTAAGTGAAATTAGTCATTCAGAGAAAGACAAAAATCATATGACTTCACTCATGGAGGACTTTAAGAGAGAAAACAAGTGAACATAATGGAAAGGAAACAAAAATAATGTAAAAGTGGGGGGACAAAACAGAAGAGACTCATAAATATGGAGAACAAACTGAGGGTTACTGGAGTGGTTGTGGGAGGGGGGATGGGCTAAATGGGTAAGGGGCATTAAGGAAGCTACCCCTGAAATCATTGTTGCACTATATGCTGACTAATGTGGATGTAAATTTTAAAAAATAAAAAATAAAATAAAAAGTTCTATAAATCAAATTCTAAAAAGTGTTCAGGTAACCCACAAGAATAACAGGAAAATGATACAGAGGAACAAAAAACAAAAATAAAACAGGGGAACAGCAGAAAACATATAGTAAAGTGGTAGACTTAAGCCCTAATGTATGAATAATTACTGTAAATATAATGATCTAAGTATATCAGTTGACAAGTCTGCATGAAACTCACTCAAATAAATGATGTAAGTATATTGCAAGTAAAAGGATAGAAATATATATATACACACACACCATGCAAACATTAACCAGAATAAAGCAGGAGTAATTATATTAATATCAGATAAAATAGACTTCACGGCAAAGAAAGTTACTGGGGACAAAGATTACATAAACATTACATAATAATGAAAGGTTTAATCTGCCAAGAAGACATAGCAATCCTAACTATGTATACACCAAACAACAGAGCTTCAAAATACATGAAGCAAAACCTGAAGTAAGAATTGAAAGAAGAGGGGCGCCTGGGTGGCTCAGTCGGTTAAGCGTCCGACTTCAGCTCAGGTCATGATCTCACACTCCGTGAGTTCGAGCCCCGCGTTGGGCTCTGGGCTGATGGCTCAGAGCCTGGAGCCCGCTTCCGATTCTGTGTCTCCCTCTCTCTCTGACCCTCCCCCGTTCATGCTCTGTCTCAAAAATAAATAAACATTAAAAAAATTAAAAAAAAAAAAAAAAGAATTGAAAGAAGAAATAGGCAAATCCACAATTAGTCTGCTGAAGTGCAGACTTCAACACCTCTGTCTCCAAAGGTGGTGGAACAACTAGACAGAAAATCAGGAAGGATGTGGAAGAACTTAACAGTATCGTCAACCAAAAAGATCTAATTGAAATCTATAGGACACTCCATACAACAACAGTAGAATACACATTCTTTTCAATCAAGCCTATGGAACATTCACCAAGACAGACCATATCCTGGCATATAAAATAAAACTTGACAAATTTAAAAGTTGAAATCAGACAGCATATTCTCTAACCACACTGGAAGAAATCCAGGAATTAATAACAGATAACCAGAAAATCTCCAAACACTTGGAAATTAAATAACACATTCCCAAATAACCTCTGGGTCAAAGAGAAAGTCTCAATAGAAAAAAAAAATATTTTTTAACAAATTGAACTGTAAAAGCACCTGCCTCATGGTTGGGGTATGAGAATTCAGCAGGGGCATAAGACAGGCAGCCTTGGTGCCACACAAGGTAGGGGCTGCAGAATGGGGACACCTGCTCTCCATGATCGTGGTGCTGCTTATCACCATTCTCGTCCTGAAGCTTCCTCTCCTGACATCTCTGCCTTGTCTTTCTACTTTCTAGCCTTATCCTTTGCAGTCTTTTCTTCCTTTCGCTTCTGTCTTAAGTGGCCTAACAATATGCCCTTCTGAACCTGGGTGGCTCAGTTGGTTAAGCATCTGACTTATCTCAGGTCATGATCTCATGGTTCATGAGTTTGAGCCCAGCATCCCGCTGTCTGCTGTCAGCGTGGAGCCTGCTTCAGATCCTCTGTCCCCCTCTCTGTCTGCCCCTCCCTCCCCTGCTGGTTCTCCCTCTTTCTCTCTCTCTCTCTCAAAAATAAACTTAAATATATATATATATATACATACCCTTCTGGCCTCTGCTTTTCTCCTTCTTTGTTCATGTACTTAATAGCCCAAGCCCTCACAAAAGCTTTAGAACCGCCTCCAGGATAGTGACTCCCAGAACGTCCTCTACAGCCTGACTTCTTACTTGTAACTTGTAAGGCCTTGGAAATGCCTTCTGAGGCCAAAGCAGGGGGGTATTGTCACTTGAGTTTCTCAAGTTGGATTCTACTTTTTTTCCCTTACTGGGGGCAGCCGCCACCATGACCACTACACTTAGTCCCTGCTCCCACTTTGTTTTGCTAGAGTAAAAGTCGATAGAAACTGTCTTAGGGAACACTTGCAGTCACAGGAGAGGGCGGCATTCCTTCTCTTTTTTAAACTTCAGGCTCTTTGCTGGACTCTGAACACTTGCTGCCTGCTGGAGCCACTATTTCACAGTTCAAGTTTCCTCTTCACAGCTCCATTGGAAGTTCCCAGAAAGCTGGCTTGGTGTCTGGTGCTTTTTCATGCCCTCTGCAGCCACGGGAGCTGGCCTTGCACAGCAGAAGGATGGAAGTACACATAGAAAGGGTTGGAACACAAATAAGTCACTGTGAGAGCTATCAGTTGTTTTCTCTTCAGCTAGAAAGAGTTTGCTATTGCAGTTGTAGCAATCTTTGTGACTTTATAGGTAGGTGTTTTAAATACTGGATTTTTCTGACAATGCCTACTCAAAGAGAAGGAAGAGAATTTTATAATTTCCATTTTCTCACTTCTGATTGCTTGTTCTCTTTCCATAGCACTCATGCCTAGATTGGCCCAGAAAACATGTAGAAACTGAAGTCTAAAGATAGTAGAGTAATATTCCACAGTATGACAGTAATATTTTAAATGATACATCCCTAACCTTGGACTTTAAAAAAGTAGTGGCAAATGATGCAACCCATTAGAACAATCTGAGATTGAATGGCTCTTTTCAAGCAGACAGATGGAGAAGAAATGGAGCAGAATTTGGCTATATACTGGAGAGCAGACATGACTTGTACAGCAGTTGAGAGGGAGGGTTGCAGTCCGCCATAGCTCATGCTAGGAGTATAAGGCCTGTCTGTGCCCTCAGAGGTGCGTATTATTTCCATTTTAGGATATGGCAGTCCTAGCCAGGGAAGCCATGGGGCTGGGGTTAGAGGTTTGCAGGGCTTGGGCACCAGGTTGAACAGAGTTTCAACTCTCAGGGAGCTGCATGCCTCTAACACTTGGGGGGGATGTAAGGGAGGGTGTGTCATGCCTGTGACTGCGTGATCCCCAACATGGCTGTATCTGGTTGGTGTACTTCAGTCTGGCTGCGCATCAGAAACCCTAGGGTCTGTTGTGGCCCAGCATCTTTCCAGGGGAGCCTTCCCTCTCCTTCCCACTCCACCCCAGCCCAGGGGACACATGAGTCCAGCCTGGCCAGGCACAGTGCAAACTGCCCAGCCATATGATTAGTTAGTTCATCTAGGGCAGGGGACCCAGCGTGAGCCAAGGAGAGTCAGGCCAAAATCTGATTGAAACCTCTAGGGAAGAGAAATGCCTGCATTCCCCAGGCCTGGGAGTTGGGGGGGGTGGGTGGGTCTAGAACTCCTGGGGGCTGTGTGGTCAGCACCTTCTGCACAATGGGTCCATGAGGAGGAAAGCAGGCAGGCAGCAAGAGATGCAGGACTTTTTAATTAGTTCTGTGCACAAGTACGTTCCCTCTAATCTGAGCCAGTTTTACGGTGACAATGGCCTGATACTCACAGATAGACAACGTTCTGAGCAGCAAAGCTGTGAACTCATGTGTAGGCCCTGCAGAGGGAGAGGAGAATCATAAAGCAGCAGATCTAGGGTGGACCTGGGCATCTATATTTTTAAAAGGCTCCTGGGTGATCTCAACTCAGTTGTCTTCTGTGTGGTGTCTCCACCCCACTACCACCCCATCATAGAGAATACTAAAATAGAAAACCTACAGTTAAACATGTCCTAACCCCCTTGCTGTGTTTCATTCTGCTGGCCTTTAGGATTTCATTATGTACTCTGAAAGAAAAAAAAATCTTTCCACTCCCGACAGCCTGAGGTGGACAAAAGGTACAATTAACTTAGATACAAGAAACCTAAAACTAAGCAATTAACCTTCTCCTGACTGTGTGTCCCTCCCTACACACATATACACGTATCTGAGAGGAGCCTGGCTATAGCTCTGGTTAGCTGTCTCCATGACTTGCTGGGGTCGAGTGACCTTTCACATTCCTGCCTCCCCTCTCTCTCCATTAATTTAAATCCTCCCCTTACTCTAGGTCTCCCCAAAATTTATATTTTTGCAACAAGACTATCTTTGATTACTCCAGCCTAACTGTGACTAGGGACACTCTCTCCCTCCTGAGAATTCTCATGACACTAACTCTTGTCTTTATAGTTCACCTAGCACATTTCATATGCTGTCTTGGACTGTAGCTTTTTTATTCCCAATATTTTATATTGTCTCCCCATTGAGATTGTAAAGTCTTTCAGGGCAAGAGCCCTCAGATTGTTTTATCTCCTTTTTCTAAAGGTGCATCTTTTCACATCGAACAATGACTGTGAGCTTACAAGTATTCGATTGGGAGTTTTGTATTTTGTATTCTATTTATGACCCATAGGTGGCACTCATGGAGTACCAGATAGCAAGCAATGATGTGTGGGACATCTGTCTGACACAACAAGCTACAAGTCTTTTTCTTCCAGCGTTGACTCAGATTAAAATGTCATCAAACACTCAGTTGGCCTGGTACATTCCATGGTCCTCTGATATTTGCTGTCACCCAGTTAATTAAACCATCCATAGATATTCTCTTACAGAGGCATTTACCAGAATTTTCATGTTCTTTCTTGTAGGACCGTGTGACTTTTAGAAGAATCATAGTGAAAAACAATGCAAAAAAGAGAAGGATGTTTGAATCATTTATTGAATCTGTGCCCCTCCTTAAATCACTAGAGGTAAAGTGTATGAATAAGAGTCTGTTTATGGAGAGTTAAGATTTAAAACTAATCTATTAAGCTTTCAAATTGTACTATTCTAACCCATTTCTGTGTTGTATAGATATTATTTGTGACTTTCAGTTGAGGTCTTTTCCTTAGAGTTTGTGGGTATGTCCATTGTTTCAGGTGTCAGAACGAATGAAAATTGTGGATGTAATAGGAGAGAAGGTCTATAAGGACGGAGAGCGCATAATCACACAGGTGAGTGGGGCCCTGTGCAGCTCCTTTCCTGAGAGAGTCAACCCTCCTGAAGGACTAGTGCAACCCTTGTCCTCTCACTTTGGGAGCTCATGTTGCCAGCTACTAGGGCACACTTCCTGCAGAGTCCTATGAAGCCCGTTGATGTTCCTCTCACAGACATATGCACATCTCTTGCCTCCATTCACCTTTCTGTGGCTTCTGGTGTTTGTTCTTTTGGACATAGTTCTCTTTTGACCCTGAGTAAACTTCATCCATTGGTGTTAAAGTCTGGAGAAAGTTGAAGGTTTGTGCCCTTTACCTTCTATGTTTGACACAAAGGTGCCCTCTTAGCCAATCCAACACAAGCCAGCCTTCAGTCCTCAGTAATTGATCAGATTTGTAAGTTGTCTTTAATGTTTCCTTTGTGCCTTTCTCTCTTGTGACTTTTGGATGCTGTGAGGATCATCACACAGTGACCTGGATCATTGTGATGAATACTGTGTAATAATTTTCCTTGTCTGCTATGATGATGTTTTTAATGATGTGTAAAGACTTCTCCAGGTGTAAACTTCTGCCTGTGGTTTGGTAAGAGCACTGGGAAGATACCTGGTTGGCCTGGGTTGGATAGTGTTCCCCATTATGAAGCCAGAGCTGGGGCTAGGAGGAGGAAAGACAGATTGGTGAAGCCTAAATCCTGAGCCCACCCCTGTACCAGGCTTATTAATCACAGCAGGTGAGAGAGAAACTCCCAGAGAAAAAGGACTAACAAAAAAACTATATGGCCTTTTGAAATGCCTTTGTTTTTTAGGACTCCTGCTGTTAATAATTCCTTCAATTAGAAATTAGTTTGATTCTCTAAACACTTATTACAATATACAAGTAGGACCAGATATAAACACTATAATGAAGGAATGTGTAAATGACAGTGAGAATGTAGGAAAGGAAGTATTCTGTGATGTTTTGTAGGGGAAATGCCATTTGGGCTGGGCTTAAAGAATAAGTGCAGCTTCAGCAGTTGAGGTCAGGGAAAGGTCTTTCAGGGCAAGAGAACAATATGAACAAGGCCTGTGGGTGTGAGCTGTGTTCCAGGACAGGTGTCCTGGTATGGTAAGAATGTAGCACTGAGTTGCAGGAATGGGACCTGTTGACTAGTCACATTTGCTTCTGAACCTGAGATGTTTTAATTTACTCCCAAAGGGCCTTCATGTCATCCTGAAAGCCCCAGGCCTTCAGGAGGTATGTCAGCAGGTTTTTAGAAGGTATGTCAAGAGGTATGAGAAGCTACAGTGTTTTTTGGAGTGTCTGTGCTCTTGAAGATGAGAGTGCTAGATGGTGCCGAATGGGCACAAATTAAGATGACCTCAGCTTATTATAGACCCCTTTTGACAGTGTCCCTAGACGGGTTTCCAGGTGAGGTCCCAAGAACAGCAGCATCAGTGTCATCTGGGAACTTGATAGGAATCATTAGAAATGAAGTTCTTGGGCCCCACCCCAGACCTACTGAATTAGAAACTGTGCTTTATGTTGTTCTGTTTGTTTTGGCAGCTTTGTTACAGTGTATTTTATATACAATAAAATCACCAAATTTAAGTGTACAGTTCTAGAGTTTTGTAGCCATCCCTGCAATCATAGTACAGGGCATTTCCATCACCCCAAGAAGTTTCCTCACTTGTATTTGTAGTCAATCCCCTGCTCCACCCCCTTATTCCTGGAAGCTACTGATTTGCTTTTCAACACTACAGAAGTTCCTTTTCTAGAATTTCATATAAATGCAATCATAATGTGGTCTTTTGTGTCTGATTTCTTAGCACAATGTTTTTGATATTTTTTTTCATGTTGTATGTGTCAGCAGATAGTTTATTTTTATTGCTAAGTAGTATTCCACTGTACGGATATACCATAATTTATCTTTCCATTCACCAGTTGAGGGAATTGGAGGTCTTTCCAGTTTGGGGCAATCATGAATAGAGCTGCAGTGGACACTTTTATACAAGTCTTTGTGTGGATATATGTTTTTATGGAATTGCTAAGCCATATGGTAAAAGCATATTTAACAACCTGCCAAACCGTTTTTAAAATGCCTCTACCACTTTGCATCCTCCTAGCACTGTACCAGAATTCCAGTTGCTATGCATCCTCATCAACATTTAGTATCAACAGTCTGTTTACTTTTAGCCATTCTAGTGGGTATGAAGTGGTGTCTCATTTTGGTTTTAATTTGCATTTGCCGCATCTTTTCCTGTGACTGCTTGCCATCCTTATGTTTTCTTTGGTGAAGTTTTTGTAAATCTTTTGCCCTGTTTACAGTTAGGTGATTTGGTTTCTTATTATTAAGTCGTAAGAGTTCTTTATGTGTTCTAAGTACAAATCGTTTATCAGACAGATGATTGGCAAATATTTCTTCCAAGCTGTGGCAGTGCCTTGTCTCTTAATTTTCTTAATGGCAGTTTTTAAAAAGCAAAAGTTTTTAATTTTGAAGAGTCTAGTTTGTAGTTTTTTTTTTTTTTTCTCTTGCAATTCATTCTTCTTGTGTCCTATTTTAAGAGAATCTTTGCAAGGTCAATACAATTTTCTCATAATGTTTACCTTTAGGCCACCATTCAATAAATATCATGTGAGACAGATGTAATTTAAAATTTTTTTAGCAGCCAAGTTTTTTTCAAAAGGTGAACTTAATTTTAATAATATGACATATTTAACTTAATATCTGTAAATAATACCATTTCAGCATCTAAGTGATATAAAAATTTAATGATGAAATATTTTATATTCTTTTTTTTCTCAGTCTTCAAAATTCAATGTATATTTTGTACTTACAGCACACCTAAATCTATAGAAGCCATATTTCAAGTGCTCCATAGCCACATGCTACTATGTTGAGCAGAATGGTTATAGATATCTCCTAGTTTTAACTCCTACATTTAGATCTGTGATCCATTTTGAGTTAATTTTTATACTGTTGTAAGGTTTTTACAAGGTTTTGCATGTGGATGTCCAATTGTTCCAGTACCATTTGTTGGAAAGATTATCCTATCTTGTTGCCTTGACACTTGTACTGAAAACTATTTGGCCGTATATTTTTAGGTCTATTTCTGGTCTCTGTTCCATTGATCTACATGTCTGCCTCTGTGCCAATACTGCACTGTCTTGATTATAAAAACTTTTTATACTAAGTCTTAAAATCAGATAGTTTAAGCCCTCCAAAATTTTTGTTCTTTTTCATAATTATTTTGGCTCCTCAATGCTCTTTGCATTTCTGTATATATTTTAGAACCAGCTTAATACTTTCTACCAATGGGATTTTTCAGAGGGGATTATGTTGAAACTATAGATCAATTTGGGGAGAAATTGACATTGTAACAATAGTGAGTGTTTTGTGTCAGCCTCAGGCCATCAGTAGTGATGCTGTCAGCTAGGAATGCCTGGGGCACTCACCTCGTCCTGTACCACTTCTCAAAAGTCCCCACAGACATTTCTCCAGAGCCAGTGTTGTGTCTGGACTGGCCCTTGTGGTTCTTGTTATGACTGCAAGGCTTAGCAACAACCATGAAGGAACTTTGAAAAAACAAAGTTTATTACTCACAGATCCTGGAGGGTATATGGCACACCCAGGGCCACACAGTGAGGTCACAGGGTGGGGGTGGGGGACCTGGAATTCTGTCTTTATTGGGGATGAGGGTGGGCTGCCCAGGGTTTGGCAGGTTCACTCTTTATTGGCAAATTTAAAATATAAGAGCAGGAATTAGGGTTGTGGGAAGAGAAAAGTGGGGTCCCTCAAGTGGTCAGTTTTCTGCATTTCTCAGGGCTTTCTGAAAGAGAAACTTCATGGGGCACCTGGATGGTTCAGTCAGTTAAGCGTCCAACTGTTTATTTCAGCACAGGTCATGATCTCATGGTTTGTGAGTTCAAGCCCTGCATCAGGTTCTGTGCTGACAGCACAGAGCCTGCTTGGGATTCTCTCTGCCCCTCCCCTGCTCGCGCGCCCGCGCTCGCGCAGGCACGCTCTCTCTCTCTCTGTCTCTCTCTCTGTCTCTCTCTCTCTCTCTCTCTCTCAAAATAAATAAATAAACATTTAAAATAAAAGGGAGACTTCATAGGTGGGGCAGCCTGGCTCTTTATTTAGTGTGGCTGGCAATATGTTTAGTCAAGGTAGGTGTCTTTGAAATGGTTGCCTCAATAATCAAAAGCTTGGTGTCAGTCACTTACATTCTAATCAAAAAAGCTTACTGTCAGTGGTTCATGAACTTAGGATATCTCTATGTAGGTCATTTTTTTTTTTTTAATGTCTATTTTTGAAAGAGAGCAAGCACAAGGGAGCGGCAGAGAGAGAGGGAGACAGAGGATCCACTGTGAGCTCTGTGCTGACAGCAGAGAGCCCAATGTGGGGCTTGAATCCATGAACTATAAGATTATAACCTAGCTGAAGTCAGACGCTTAACTGACTGAGCCACCCAGGTGCCCCTAGGTTACCTTTTACTTTTTCTCTGTAGTATTTTATACTTTTCAAGTCGTACACATCTTTGTTAAATTTATACCTGGATATTTTACATTTTTTACGATATTGTAAGTGGTTTTCCTTTCTTCAGTTTCTAATTATTTATTGCTAGTATGTAAAAATACACTTGAAGGGGCGCCTGAGTGGCTCAGTTGGTTAAGTGATCAACTCTTAACTTCAGCTCAGGTCATGATCTCATGGTTCATGAGTTTGAGCCCCCATCAGGATTCGCGCTGTTAGTGCAGAGTCTGCTTGGGATTCTCTCCCTCTCTGCCCCTCCCCTGCTTTCTCTCTCTCTCTCAAAAATAAATAAATAAACTTAAAGAAATTAAAAAAAAAAAAAAACTTGGTGAAATGTTTGAAAAGCATTTTCAAAGGTTTTTGAGAGAGAGGAAGGATATCACTATGAGAATTGTGTTCTCAGAGTATAGTTCTGGCATCAGTGAAAAATGAATTGGCTTCAGCTTCATTGAGTAATCAAGGAAATGCAAATTAAAAGCCACAATGAGAACTATTTTTTTTTTAA